TAAGACTGCCTTTTTGAACGGTGATCTAGATGAAGAAATCTATATGGAACAACCAGAAGGGTTTGTTATCCCTGAACATGCCTCGAAAGTCTGTAAGTTGGACAAATCATTATATGGTTTGAAACAGGCTCCAAAACAGTGGCATGAGAAGTTTGACACTCTCGTTCTCTCACATGGCTTTAAGGTGAATGAAAGTGACAAGTGTATTTACTGCAAGTCAGAGAATAACACTTGCACTATCATATGTTTGTATGTAGATGACATGTTGATATTTGGTACAAATATTCACGTGGTCAATGAAGCGAAAGCCATGTTAAAAGAGAGCTTTGAGGTGAAAGATCTGGGAGAAGCAAAGTTTATGCTTGGAATCCAGATAACTAGAACAGCAAATGGTTATTCTCTAGATCAATCTAGCTACATAGAGAAGATCTTGAAGAAGTATAACTATTTCGACTGTAAACCTGCGTGTACTCCGTATGATGCTAGTGTAAAGCTATTTAAGAACACTGGAGACAGTGTAAGACAATCGGAATATGCTAGCATCATTGGCAGTCTCCGTTATGCTGCGGATTACACTCGACCAGACATTGCATATGTCGTGGGATTGCTTGGCAGGTTTAACAGCTGTCCTAGTAGAGAGCATTGGAATGCTATAGAGAGGGTCATGAGATACCTCAAGAGAACAGCAAACCTTGGTATACACTATCAAAGGTTTCCCGCTGTACTAGAAGGGTATAGTGATGCGGATTGGAATACCCTATCAGATTACTCCAAGGCAACCAGCGGATATGTTTTTAACATCGCTGGTGGAGCTGTGTCTTGGAAGTCAAAGAAACAAACAATCCTAGCTCAATCAACTATGGAATCAGAGATGATAGCACTAGCAACGGCTAGTGAAGAAGCAAGTTGGTTGAGAGGATTGTTGTCAGAGATTCCCCTATGGGAAAGGCCGGTCCCTCCGGTATTGATACATTGTGATAGTACCGCAGCTATCGCTAAAGTCGAGAACCGGTTCTATAACGGAAAGAAACGACAGATTCGTCGTAAGCACAGTACTGTTAGAGAACTCCTAACGATAGGAGCAGTGAGGGTGGATCATATAAGATCCGAACAGAATCTAGCTGATCCTTTGACGAAAGGATTACCTAGAGAGAAAGTCCAGAATACCGCCAAGGGTATGGGACTTATGCCTACCGAACCACGGACTACAAGTGATGGTAACCTGACCCAATAGACTGGAGATCCCAAGAAATGGGTTCAATGGGTAATAACAAGTCATGAGTAGTATGCGAAAAGTTCATGCATAATGAAGCATGAATCCCAAAGCAATGGAGGTTGAGTTAATAACTCTTAATGAGATCTATACCCTATGTGGGGTGGAGTACTTTACTTTGGGGGTACTCCTGATAGACTCACCTATGTGAATGTGGGAGTGGGGCCGCTCCCTATGGAACTTTGAGAGGCACAAAGTTGCTAGAGCGTTCACTAAACCAGGATAACGTGCATGGCCATAAACGCACGGGCTAAGAAGAGAACACAACTCAATGAAAAGATCCGGTGTGCTACACTGTCTGAGATAGGGTTCAAGACTACGAGTCACCCTTATGAAATCGGAAGTGTAACCACTACACTAAGGTTCAAATCTTCGCGATACCTTAGCTTATGCCCGATCTTATGGAACTGTTGATGCTCAGAGATAGTTTCAAAACTATTCAAGTGGGGGATTGTTGGAAATGTGTATGAATAGCTTTGAAAGCTATAGAGTCTCAAGTGGAAAAACTACCACATTGGTAGTTTTACTTGGTGAAGTGATTATAAAGATAGGAGCCTCTCTCCTAAGGGCATGCCCCTTGGGGTGACCCACTTTTGTGGGAGAGGGAGGACCTAACGGACCACCACACACGCGCGCGCCGTCCGTCCGTCCGACCGACCGGTTGGTTGGAGAAATTCCGAACGAAATTAATTATTTAAATTATTAATCGGTTATTCTGAGGAATATTCTAAGGGATAATCGATTGAAAAGGAATATTCAAAGGATAATCCCAGCAGGATTTATCCTAACCGACGGTTTTAATTAAGGAAGTAATTATCTTCCTTAATTAATCCGACTTATTCCCCAAGCTAGAGGGTATATTCCTAGGGGTTCGGCTCCTATAAATAGCCGCCTCCCCAGCCCCTCTAAACACATCACAACGAGCATAAACACAAAGAGAGAGTGTTCATAGAGCTCAGGTTTTCGCACAAAACCGTGAGTATTGAGAGGAGCTGTTTTATCCTGGAGACGACCGGTTGATAGTCTGCCGTGCGCATCGAGGGCAGTGCCGCGAACGTCTTAAAGAGAGCGACCTAGTCCGCGACTCAGCTCCAGATTCGGTAACCTCGTTCTTCTTGTTGTTCCGTTCCTAACACAACCGGTAGCTCAAAAAATGGAGGTAATCCTCCGGCGTCAGGCCGCCCAAGAAATCTGAAACCGGCACGGCCATCGCTCTGACCACTCTGTTTCCCGATCCGACCCTGCATTGGACCTCCACCGTCACCGATTTCGTCATCGACACCGTCATCGAGAAAACGACCTGGAGGAGGGGAAAGTGGTCGCAGGAATCTATCGGAATTGGGAGGCGCCCTTCTTTATTCTATTTCCTGGGCTTTTCACTTTCGGTATGTGTTTGCTCGCTAAACAAAACTATGCATAATTAGGGGATTATTATGAAGGGTTTTGGTAACTGGAAGGGTGACTAATTACACATAAGGGTTCCCTCTTTCTTTCCTTTTTGGCTGGAAGTTTATTTTTTTATTTTTAATGAATGTAATAATGAGGTGGAAAATATAAAAGTTTATTTTTTATTTTTAATAATATTTTAGTTGCCACGTCACTAAGTTAACGGTCAACTTTTAGAGTTGACTGCCACATCAGCAAAAGTTAACGGAGTTGGACGGAGAGTGACCAAACATGAACGGTTTCAGTAAACTGAAGTACCATCAATGGATTTAAATATTTCGAGTGACCAAACTTGAACGTTTTTTATAATCTCGGTGACCAACCATGCAATTAACCCTTTTAGATTCCATATGGTATACTTGATGAGATTCATGAGGGACTAATGGGAGAGGAAAGAAACACTAACCATAAGCTTTAGGCCTCGTTTGCTTCATGGAATTGATCATGGATTTGGTACTTAAAAATCAAGCATCATGGACTTTGTACACAATCCGTCGTTTGCTTAATGGATATAGGAGGAATAAATCTGTGGGGCCCACGAACTTTGAGGGTCCAAATTTGTGGACCCCACGGACTTCAGAATTCCACCCCAAGAGATGGGATTTGTGTTAGGGTACAAAGTCCATGATGACTTTTTATAATTTTAACCCCACTTATTTCACTAATCACCCACTCACCCTCTTTCATTTACTAATTGCCAACTTGAAGTGCATATTAATTTTGCATCAATATTTATTATTATTCATTGCACGAAAACACTTCATGATTAATTGCAAAGCATACTTTGTAATATTGAAAACCTTAAGAAATTGTCTAATTGTGTGTATAATATGATGTTGTTATTGATTAATGATGTTCATTTATTGCGATTGTGGTAATGGGACGAACCTATTGTATGAAACTTGTTTTAAATAAAAATTATAATGTAAATATAAATAATACTCAATAAGGGCACTAAGGTAAATTCCTAATACAAGCACAAATATAATAATGCTAAATCCATCATGAAATCCAACAAGCAAACGATGATTTGTACCAAAAACCAAATGGGGCAATTCCATCATATATCCATGGTTTTGTAAAACCCAGGTTTTAACCAAAACTTTCATTTTTCAAATGGGGCAAGCCCTGCTGTTGTCCCTTGTAGAGACAGCGTCCTTCGATTTTGTAGGTGGCTTCATTAACTGTCATTTTGGGATCTTGAGTAGAGAATATAACTATTGTACTTTGATATTACTTGGGGAAAAACGAGCCCTTAGTGTTTAATCAGTTAGTTGACAATTAATGGTTACACGGCCAATAAAATGATCGTTTAACAGCCTTTATATGTGTGAGTTAGACACTAATCGTACATCAAATCCTCTAAAAGTTGACATGCATTTTTTGGTCTGAAAAGACAAGGACTGTAACACGATTTAGCATTCCCACTAACGAATTAAAGTCTCCTTGTAGAGGTCGGAAAAAGCAAGCTAACATAACCCATTTCCTTCTCGAACAAGAAATATCGTTAGGTAGGCAAGAGCTGGAAACAGGGAAAGAAAGAATAGCCTATTCCTTTCAGGACAAGGAATTACTTATACGACAATAAGCTTAAACATGGTATAAAGCTTGAGGTCGAAGAAAAAAGCATTAACCAAAGTCAATTCCTTTAATTGGTCTCTGTCGCCACACCACCAGCACACGTGCAAGACGACAATCAATGGCTGAACCAGAGCAGCAGCATGAGGAGCCAGATCAGAACCATGAAGATGAACTGCCCACAATGCGGGAGGCTGCCGCGCCAGCTCTACGACCAGAACCATGGCTGGTTTACCTCCATGGTAAGAAGAACAAGAAGTCACTAATCTACAGCTTGTCAGAACGACGCCACCATGTCAAGCACATGCCTGAAATACGAAATCATCGAATCTTCACCACTTCTCATGGTTGGTTTTTTCTCTATGCTTGGGATGGTGATTGCTTGCTGCTAAACCCAGTCACCATGGAGAAGATCCCGTTACCCAATTGGTCCAAATACCACTTGAAGCCTGCCAACTGTGTCCTTTCTTCTCCTCCACATGATCCTAGCTGTGTCGTTATGTTCCAATCACGTATGAGAGGGACGAGTTTGCTATACTGCAAGCCTGGGGATGAGGATTGGACGACACTAGTAGTACCGAGATGTAGTTTTTGTCGCATAGGTTCCTGGCTGCATTTTCCAGGATGCGCTGCCCTCAACGGCGAGGTTTATGCACGGACACGTTGCTGCAAAAGGCTATGGAAGTTTCAGTTCAATCGAGACATGAATGGCTGCCAGATGAAATTATTTGATTTGAAAGTCAGAGAACAATACCCTACTTTGGGTCAGTCCTACACTAGGAGCCATGCACATTGTGACAAGTTCTTGGTTCAGTGCTCAGATAGCGAGCTTATGATTGTTGAGCTATACTACGGGTACAAAAAAAGGTTCATACGGGATTCTCATGTCAGAGACATTGGTTGCAAGAGGATTGAGTTATACAAGGTGAATTTACAGGACCAAGTATGTCAAAGGATGGAAAGTTTACCTGAAGATTGTGCCATCTTCTTAAGCTACCCAGAGAATGGATTCTTCTACAAAATTCCACGAGAAGATCTAAATTCAGGACTTGTTCGCGGGAACACAGTTTATTTCTCCGAAAGGAATGACAAGCGTCTTTATGCATATGATGTTAAAGAGAGAAGTGTAAGTGTGTCACTACCTTGCCCCAACATGGGAATTGACTATTATGAGCCACAATGGATCCAGTTGCCTCTTCATAGCTGGACTTCAGCAGATGTTCCCCAACCAGAAGTAACGATTGATAGCAAGCAGATTATGTTACCATCAGGAAGTAGCAGTGCTCGTGGTGGTTGGAACGACGTTCCAACCGACCTTCTTTCTGACATACAGTCGTGTCTATTTGGAGCTGATCGCTGTTACTTTCGTCTTGCCTGCAAAGCATGGAAGTCATCATTCTCTAACTCTAACTGTGAATCTGATCTTCAATTGGGGAAGGTGCAGAGAAATCATCGATTCCCAATCCTCATGCACATAGGAAACAACAATGAGCTAGTCAAGTTCTTCGATCCAATAACCAATTCTACCAGCACCTTGCCTTTACCCAGTTTAAAAGCTACAGAACCAATCATTCGTTGCTCTAAACATGGATGGTTGTTGATATCCCAAGGAAGTTCAGGTCATCAACAACTATTCTTTCTCAACCCTTTCACTAACGAAAGGATTGACTTACCTAAAGTGCGATTTCTTCAAGATGGGATTTCTTTCTCTTCTCCTCCAACATCCTCCGACTGCATGGTAATTTGCTACGCAGTCTTTCTGGCATATGTGACCCTCTACTCTATTCGTCGAGGAAATTACAGCTGGGCTTACTCGTCTGCGGAGAAGAAAGGAATTCATTTCAAGAGTTCTTACAGCAATCCAGTTTACCACCAAGGATTATTCTATATCATGGGAATGAATGGAAATCTATGCATTCACGATCCAGGACCAAGACGTTCCACCAAGTTCATGAGCTTGCCCAGAAGACCTTGTGCGTCAATAAGAAGAGGCCATTTGTTGGAGTCCAGAGGGAAACTTCTATCAGTGTTCACGGGTCCCGTGGGGAGGTTTCTGCGGGTATTTGAGCTGAAACAAACAACCATGGCTTGGAAAGAACTCCACAATCTAGAAGACACGATGCTGTTTCTGAGCTCTACTTCTTTGTTATCTGCAACAAGCAGTGGAGTGGAGATTTCAGGGTTGGGAAACAAGGTGTTTCTGGACAGGTTTAGTGGGAGAGATGGCATCTTCTACTCTCTGGCGACAAGAAAATTTCATACCTTTTGGAGCGGACACAACAGTAGCGACTGGAGTGACACCAAGGAATACACGTATAGCACTTGGATTGAACCGAACTTGGAGAAGCACAACGAAAAGGAGCTCCAATGGTTAACGTGGTAGAGACAGAAGAATGGGCAATCACATACCCATACACACTCCTTGTTATTAGTTTAAGCATTGTGACTTACGACTTAGCCTCCAATCTCCTTTCTATAACACTAATTTACGTTTCCGTTAATTCAGACCAACGAGATATATAAGAAAACTGTCATACCCAAACCAATTGTGATCATAAGTTAAAAACCAGCTGCAATTCTGCCAATGATAATAAGATAAAGCCAGTCTGTGGCACATTGAAAAACCACCAACGGCGTTCACTTCTCATCTAAAACTTGCAGGTCCGTCGTTAGACACGGCCTGAAAAAATGCCAACTTGAATCATGAAAAGCTGCAAAATAATCTTCGGACACAGTACTCAGCACAAACTCGTCGGTGATATTTTCAACAGCCAAAATGTGATTTGAATCAACCACTATCAGGTTCTTGAACGAAGCATACTGCCGATACAGCTGGAAGCTGTTACCAAACAGCACAACTCGATTCATTGCCTCCACATCCCAGTTCGCCTTCAGAAGGTTGTTGTACAGACCTGCTTCACAATGTGGCATGAAGAACAAAGTCGGGCTTGTTGCTCGACGTCGACCTTGCTCGTTTACAGAGAGAACAGTGCAGCCGAGAGCTTCGAGAACTTGACACTCGGTTGCAGAAAGGATTGGATCGAACACTTGCAAATCCCCGATCCAACTGAACTCTCGCTTTATCAAGAGGGCAATGCTGAGTTGCAGACGAGGGGTTTCGTGCGATTCGATGCTGCCAATACCATATACCACCATCTGCATCTTCTTCTGTTCTGAACCCTCGAGAACCTTGTGAAAATGGTCCATGACTTGTTGGGTTTGCATCTGTTCCACAAACTTCTGATAGAAAACAGAGTTCTCCACTCTCTTCATACAGCCAACCATCTTCAGTTCTAACTTCGATCGCCTGTCTTCGCTGGACTTGGTATCAGATGGAGTCCATGATACTACTGTCCCTCCTTGTTCCTCCAGAGATCCAATTTTAGGTAACTTTCTACTGCGTCTTTTGCCACGAGGCAAGACTATTGTCCATCCATCGTGGCTCTCAGCACGCTTGTCAAGCGTAAGAACTTCAGCAGATGCAGCCATTATATAGCTCTCGATGGCAAACAAACTCTTCACAAGAGGAAACCCTTCAACTTCTAAACCAGTATTATATTGCCCCAAAAGCTGAAACAAGAAAACAATTTGTCAATAGTGACATCGAGATGGGTATTCTTCAATCGCTAATTTCATAGCCAAATAGCTCTACAAAGTTAACAAATTTATCATCCTCCCCCGTTTTGAGAAATACAGATTCAAGCATTGCGAAGAGGTCTGATAGAGGGCAAGCATATATTTGGATCATTCAACATCAATTGCGTGCTTGGTCTATTCTGCAGAATGTCAAAAAGTATGTACTTGTGGAGTTGTGGTGGACTAAACTTACCTGGGCAGCGGAGAGACAAAGAGGGAATCCACCGGCGGCGGGGACAGAGATAAATTCAGAGAACTAAAGAGAAATCCAGGTACAACTACCAACCAGCGCAGATCTCATCCGCCTCCCAATCCTCCTCGTCTGGACGCGAATTTCAACGTTCGCTTGATTTGGGAATTTCGGATTGGCGAGGCTTGATGGAGCGCGAAGCGTCTACATTGACGGCGGGGACGATAACTGTCCGTGAAGGGGCTAGCTGGCCTCAGCTACGGCCGAGCTGTCGAAGCAGACTTCTTGCCTGTCTCGCTGCGATTGGGAGCGAGTGAGACCGGAGAGAGATGGATTGAAAAGCCAGAAAAAACAACGATGAACTGAAACTAAAAAATCTCTCTATTTCTTTGAACCAAAAAAAAAAAAAAAAAATCTCTCTAGTTCTACACGGCAATTGTGTATTGGGTGAGAGACATGAGAGTACCAACTTTATAAATCTTTAATTTGTAGTATGCGTCCAGCCGTCAACGGTGGTGGTTTGATTTTTATGATGAATCAATTGTTGTTTTAGGGTTTGCCGGTTTGGTAAACTAGATTAGGGCCCGACCCGTTGATCGGATTAATTTGTTCAATAATATAAATTTGGTTGGTTCATCGGTAGGATCACCTTTGGATTTATTAAACTATCTGCCAACAATTACAATTGTACCAAGTTTGGGACATTTTTTGTATTATAAAAGAATCCAAACTATTTAACTGAAAAATTCAAATGGGATTTACATAAAATTATCACATATCGCAACTGATTCATCAACTAAACAACATCTTCACACCCACTAATAACATTCCTTTCAATTTCATCATCGAAACCTCTATCTTTATCATCAAATATTCTCTTCCGTCTTCTCCACATTATCATTGTCTTTATTATCTGACTATGGTAAATGACTAATTAGTTATTCTTGGAAAATGAATTTATTTAGAGAGGTAGCCATGGGATAAATTATATGGATGTTATTTTCATTTTTGGCTGCCAAGTCTGAGTCCAAAAAGTTTCTTTTGTATTTTTCTATATATTTGTACTTCATTCGGTTACATTATTAAAGAATAAATAGAAAATTTACTGAATCAATTATCTCAAGTCTATTATTATTCTTCCTCTCTAATCCTCTTAATTTTGTCCTCTCTAAACCCTAATTTTATTCTATATCTCTCTGGATTTCTATCAATCCCCTTGAATTATGTAGTCTCAATTGAGCTACAATTCTTCCTCATCAGTTTTTTTTTTCTTTTTTTCTTTTGCCTTTTTATGCCTAAATCTCCTCTAATCCTATCTTTATATTAATCAAACTCATATTCGAAGATCCGCTTTCTCATCAAATTGTATATAATTGGAAGCTTTGGAGGATATTTCGCTGCCAAAGAAGCAGCATGGTCTCCGATCGAGAATGACGATGCAACTTCCTTTTGGTTGTTTGCAACGTCAATTGGAAATTTTCCGTTCAGATTGTTGCAGTTGGAGTGAATTGGAAGTGAACGTGTGGTTGAGCCAAGTATAGGAAGAATTCATACAAAATCATGTTAATTCTTAAGGGAAAGAATCTTTCAAATGGGATGGATTGATGAAGTATTAGTTAGTTATTATTATTCTTTATGGCAAGAATGTTTTCCGATAATTTATCTTATTATTAACCATCCTTCTTGCCCCCAAACTCTAATGTGTAATTCATCTCCCTTCATTTCTATCAATTTTCTTCAAAACACTCTCAATTCACCTAGTCTCTATCCATCTTGTGATTTGAACCTCCATCAGTAAATGAATAACATGTCACTCACTATCCATCTTAGTTCATCCTTTTATCGCATAGAGTTTATTTGTCTTCTTAATTTTGGCCAATTCTTCTTTATTGGTATCTCTCTATTAATCTATAGGGTGTGCCTACGGTGACATGCATGTCACCGTAGTAAAGTCCTAATCTATATTGGGTTCCAAGATTATCTCTCCTATCAAATACACCATCTCTATCCATCATTAGCATACTCTCACTTCTTCTCTTACATTTTATTGAAAGCAAAATTTAAATAGTATTTGAAATACCATTTTAGTGCAAGTAAAATGACATGATTTCATCGCATCTTCAAAATTGCCGATTCATTAATTAACCAATCGTTTGAATGACATTTAACTTGTATGTATCCTATCCTATAGAATAAATTTCACAATTCGGAATCAATAGTATTTTTAAGTGTGTCCTACATGTGAATGATAGTATTTCCAAAGTCAAGTTGTTTTACATTCATGAATGAATAATAATTATAATGATAAAATAATATTTCCAAACTTTTATTGATAAATCTTATCCAACAAATCTACTAAAGGTTAGAACTCTAATAATTTGTATGTAACTAAAACTGCAGTCACGATGTCGTGAAACACACGTGATAAAGCCTCATGTTTGGGAATTGGATTATGAATCAATACTTGGAACTTTCCTTTAACAATCATTATTTTTTTAATTTATGAATTTGTTTTTAATGTACTAGCTTTTTACCCGGCACGTTGGCCGGAGAGAGTTATTATATAATTTATATGAATTAACTTATTTATATGTTTAAATCATTTTGGATCTTCTAAATATTTTGTGTTGATTCATAACAGAGTTTGTAGTATGTCTATATTGAACATTTTCAATATATAGTACACTCACTTCTGATGCTTCGGTTTTTTAATCATAAATTATGTCGCTGTCACGTCTCATTTAGAACTTATATCAAAATTTGTCAACCAAAACACTAATATTTAGCGTACGCCAGCCTAAACCACACAGACATATAATTCAAGCTAGCGTGCGCCAGGAGTACGCTATACTCTTGCGTTCACACTACCATACGACCATAGAGTTTTACTATTTAGACCCAGAATTAACCGGAGTTTTTTAGAGCAAATGATTCTATACCCTAACCTCTAATAGGTGAACTCCAATCCCTAATTCTCTAACTTCTAATTTATGCACATACTTTGTCATACCTATCTTCTATCGTATCTTGAGTAAAATCAAAAGTATAGTATACCTTGATATTATTTATATGTATATATATGTGTGTGTGTGTGTGTATAGTAGACTCAAAATTATCAAGATACTTTGTTAGACCTATCTTATCTCCCCTAATACTCATATTATAAGTGCTACTTGACTATCTCCCACCCTCGGGATAGAGATCTCGATTTTACCCCCATAACATGAGACAACCATTGGGGTTGTCTATCGTTCGATATGTAATATATAAAGAGGAAAATCCTAAGATCCTACTATTTATTTCTTATCCTCTCCCGTCGCCCCATTTATGGAGAATAAAAGGGTAGGAATGACAGGATCATAGCTCGCTATGGTTTTATTCTGTTCATCATATCAGAGGTTATGTTATTTTTTGATTTTTTTGGGCTTATTTTCATTCTTTTTTGGCACCTATGGTTGTGATTAGAGATATTTAGCCCCCCCGAAAGGGATTGAGATTTTAGGTCCTTTGGAAATTCAATACACATTCATTATCCTCGAGTTTGGACGAACTTTCGACCAATGGTGTAAAGATTAGGATTTTTTAGTGAGAAATTCTTAATAAAGATACTTCATTATTGGATCAATTTATTCATTCATATTCAAACTTGACACACACAGTAGCCCTCATGATGATTAAATTCTCTAATCTCGACTCATTTCCATTTTGGATCTTAGTTTTTTTATCAAGATACTTAAATTTGGTATATTATACAATAATACAATATGTATCAATTGTTAATTTTTGAAGTTTAGACGAAACCTCCACCCGTGGTCATTGTTAATGTTGGCTTAGAATCTCAAACAAAGACACTCACACACACTATCGAGGATTTTGGTCTTAACATGGTCGTTGAATGTGTAATTTTCAAAGATTTTATCACTTCTGTATTAATAATAGATAAAGAGTCTACAATAGACACAAATTTCAAGTGCATTTAAAATGTCGTATCATTTGAACAATATCGGTGGATTTCATTTGATTATTTGCATTAAGTTATTATCTTATACAACATATATCAATTCGTTTTTCTCGAGTTTGGATGAACTGGCAACCAATTTTGAGAGTTGAGATTATTGGATAAAGATATTTGATTGCTGGATAAATATGTTTATCCCAATTGACTATCTTACAAAAAATCGTCAACCTTTATTTGGTAAATGCCTAGGTTAGTAGTTGATGATACGTGATATTTATCGTAGATTCTCAACAAAGATTCTCTAACCTCCACATATGTTATTTTTCAAGGAATCTTGTGTCTCATCCTAGGGTATGAAGTTAACGTTCGTCAACAATCATACTTAAGTCATTTTGAAAATTTTGATTTATAATCGTCGAGGATAACTCCAAGTCTAAAAAAAATTTCTTAGCATACGACTTAGAAGTTGAATAGAGCTTGGTCAATCAACATGATATAGAGAAAATATTATTAATGTCAACTTAGGACACATTATAAAATTATTGCACATGCGATTCCTCTTAATTTGAGGAGTTTAAGGTATAATATGATCTGAATGAATAAGAAGTATTTTTAAAATAAATAACTATAACTACTTGATCAATATTATACTTTGACATTTTGCTAAATAATATTTGTTTTGTTTTATAGACATATAATTTACGAATAAGAGAGTGTTTCATTGCAACAAAATATAAATTAATATAGTTTATTTTTAAAAGGTAATTGAATGTCAAATATTTATTTTCTCTCTTTTCATATATATTTTGTTTAATCGATAAAACATTTTTTTTTTTGATGAATCGGGTATCTTCTCATTCTATCAAAAAGAAAGTACTAGTAACATCCTTACTAGTTAGGAGAAAAAGAGTTTAATAACCTATACAAGTAATTCTACTACCTGACTACCAAAAATCACAGAAGTCTCCTCTCTAATAATCCTGCATAATCCATCTCTGTCCCTGCACACACCCGTGTAAACCCTGCAACACCTCTCTCGCCAAATTTGGCTAATTAAACTGTGCCACATCGCTCTACCTGCTTGAGCTTCAGGCGACTGAGATCCAAACTTCAGCTTTACCCAACTTATCTCACAGCTCAATGAGGACGAGACTGCATATCTTCTCCCATACAATTTAAACTTCAACTCCCTGTAAAAGACACATTCTGCAAATAGGTGGTCACATGTTTCAAGAAGGCAATTACA